TTTTGTCGGCCGTACGCGTTGCGGCGCAAATCGCTTTGGACGTAATTATCGGCAAATCCGGTAAAAGCGCGTTAAAAAAAAAGGCTTTAAACGAAAGCAAAGGGCCCGTCTTTTTGCAAAATCGGCCTTTGCCTTTTTTAACCGGAAAAAAAAAGGAAAGCGGCGCTTTTTGCTTGTTTGGGTTTGTTTCGAACAAACCTTTAAAAGCTTTAAACGCTTTTGGTATCGCGATTGGGGGCGCCGCAAAAGTGCCGCTTATGGTCGCGATTGGTATATCCGGTCCTAAAGTAAGCAGGGACCGGCTTGTTGCTTTATGGGGTAAAACCAGCCCTAACGGTTTTAAAGGTCGTTTTTCGGGCTCGTCGTTACTTTTACCCCTTACCGGCGGGAAGCTATCGCTTTTCCCGGGCCGTATAAAGCCGTAATACGAATTGCTTATACGTAAAAAGCCCGTATTACGCATTTGCTTTGCTTTATGGCCATTTTTTAAAGCATTTAAAATTAAAAATTTGTGCGCGTTTGGATTTAGCCCGTTGGCCGAATCCTTTGCGGCTTTAACCCTTGTAGTTACAATAGGACCTGGCTTTTTTACCCCCAATTTTTAACCTTAATGCTCGGTAGCGAAAGTAAGTGCTTAAAGCTTTTTCGGTTAAAAAAGCCCCAGCGCATTAGCAATTTTTTTTCGAATTGCAAACGGGTTTTCCGTTTCGTCGTATTTAACCAGCAAATTATAAATAACTACGTCGATCGGGTCCTTTTTTTATTTGCTTTTAAAAAAACTTTTTTTATTAAATTTAACGTTTTTTGTAATTATTACTTTTTTTTTTAACGGGACCCAAATCCGGTAAATATTAAAAGCTTAGTAATTTATTAAATATCCAACCCCGGCACGAAAGTTAATTTTAAAATGCTTAAAATCCGCGTTGTAAAACCTTTTTACGTCCAAAAAATAAGCTTTGCACCCGTAAGCGTAAATGCCGTTCCAATCCGGTTTTAAATCGGTTATTAAACCCGTAAAAAGCTCCGGGGCGTAATGCCGGAATTACCCCCGAAATTAGCTTAAAAGGATATTGTTGGAAGCGCGCATACCTTTTAACGGTAAAAAATTTATATTTTTTAGCCAAACGGCAGCGTAAACCGCTTTCGGCCATAAATGTTTAAAAAGTTTTGCGCTTTCGCGCATGCGTATCCTTTTCGTAATAACGTTTTATTCCGTACGTTCGATTATCCCGTTGGGTTTGTAAGTATATAACGATAAGGTTTTAATAACGATGCCTTTAATTTAAACCCATTTTTTGTACTCCGAAAACCCTTTTACAGGTATAATGGACTTTTTTTGGTCGTATTTAAAAGTAACAACAAATAATCCGTACTATTTTTTTACTTACGCTTTTTATTCCTTTAAAACTTTAGTAACCGTCGGTCCCTTTTTGTTTAGGAATGTAAAGCTTTAAGTTTTGCCGTTATATTTGTTTATTAATAGCAAAACCCAATTTATCCTTAACTTTAATTTAGGGTAATCGAATAAATTAAACCAAACCTTTTAAAAAAGGCGCATAGCCCTTTTTATAAAGCGCTTAAAAACGACGGCTATAGCATAAATTATTGCGCATGCTTTGCATTCGATCCGTTTGGGTCTTTTAATTTTAACGTTCCGGGCGTTTCAAACAAAAGCTTTTAACGCTTGTAATTTTAAATAACCATTGCGCAAATGCCAAAAGTCGGCGGTATTTTTTTGCGGTTTCGTAAAGTTCGAAAATGGACGCTACGTATGCGTAGCACGTTTGCGGCGTAAAAACTTTTTAATTGCGAAAGTTAAAACCGTATTTTTTGGAAAAAATTGCAACGTGGCTAATACAAAATAAATAGCAATAAATTTGTATTTATAAAACATTACGTTATTTTTGCGCTAAAAACGTTTAATTACTTTCCCGTTGGTAATTTTCCCAATGCGCAAAATCGCGTTTTTCCCGCAAAACCATACCTTTTTAGCGTTTAAACGGGCTTCCAAAATAATATTAATATAAAAACCTTTTACTAAAACGACGTTATAAAGCTTAAGGTTTTTGCTTCCGTTTAAAAAGCTAAAAAGCGTACAAATGTTACGTCCTAAAATCGGAAAGTATTAAGTGCCGCATTAAACCGTTTCGGTACCGTTTAATGATTGGAACGACCTTTCGTTAAAGCGCTTTTTATCGTTAACGATATAAAGCGAACCGCAATTATCGAATAGCGTGCTTTCGAAATAAATGTTTTTTATAATGTTAAAAACCAAAAAAACGTTTTAAGGCAAAGGCATTTTAAATACGGCCGCGTTTAAATCCCTTTTTTTTTTAAAGCTTAAAAACCGGAATTTAATGCGCTTTCGGTTTGCTTTTCCCAAACGGAATTTTTAAATTTGCTTTTGGAAAGAAAGGACTTTTTAAATAATTTTTAGCGGTTTTTTTCCAAAAACTTTTTAATTTTTTTGCATTTTTCGTTATTTGGTTTGTTACGAAAGCGTTCGGAATTGCCGGTAAGCACGTAAACGAGCTTTTAGCAATTTTCCGGCTTCCAGGAATGGTTTTAAATGCAAGCCGGGCATCCGTACGTTATCGCGTTATTTCGTTAAATGCTTTTAGCTTTTTTATTCCTATTTTTAAATGCGCCCCTAAAGGTTAAAAACGCAAACTTTTTTTTGGTGCCCGAATTATTAATGCGGTGCTAAAAAAGGATCGTTAAAAATTTAATAACCAAAGTATCCATTTTTTCCGTAAAATTGCCCGTAGCTATTTTTTAACGGTAACGCCTTACTTAAAAAGGGTCGAAGCGCTTTATATGCTTAAAAAAATTAAACATAAGCGTAAAGCTTTATACTTTAAAAACGTTTTTAATTTTGGCTTAAATAAAAATCGTTTGGAATTTCGAAAACCATTAATTAATATTTGTAATATTAACGGCCTTTTTAAACGTATTGCGGTACTTTTAAAAAATTATTTAAATTTTTATTATAAAAGTAAAAGCGTAAAGCGCTTTTAAATAAATAATGGTGCTACGAAAAGTAACGTAATTATTGGCTTAAATTTTTAGCTGCGCGTTCGCAAGCGCAATAAGGTTTACAAAAAAATTAATCCATTTGGAAAGGGTTGTAATTTTTTTCGAAGCGGTTTTGTTCGCGGTATCCTTTGTTTTAAGCGCTTTTTTATATTTAGCTTTAAAATTACCTTCGGTAAAAACCGAAAGGGTTTGGGAAGGTTCGGGATTAAATCCTTGCGTGGCTTCGCTTTTGCCTTGCTAAGCCTTTAAACGAGCCTTTTTTTTTTCGGTCGAAAGGATCGTTTGCCAAGCCAAACGTTTAAATTTATGGTTTTTAACGTGCTTGGCCCGGGCTTTTACTACGAAAAAATCGAAATCCAGGGTTTCGTTGGCTTGTACGTTATCCTGGAATTTTAAATTAAAGTTAACCTGGTTTTAAATCCTTAAAATTAATGCATTTTAACGGAACGCCGTAAATTACGTAAGCCATTGTTTTTAATTTTTAAATAGCGCTATTACGAAAAAATCGTTATCCGTATTACTTATAATTGGTAATAACCGAAAGCTTGTAAAAGTAAAGCGGTAAAAAATAAAAGGTTAAAAGCTTTAAAAGCGTAAAAATGTAAAAGTTAAAAAAGTAAAATTTAATAAGGGTTTTTGGCAACGTTCGGAATTGATAACGAAGCTTGTTTCGGCAAAAAAAACTTTATCGAAAGAGGTTTTGGAAGCGTAAAAATTTTTCCGTAAAAGAATTGCGGAAAGGAAAAAAAGGATAAACGCGCTTGGAAAAGCGCGTTTAGAAACGATTTAATAAAGGTAATAAAAAAGGAATAAATCCGTACTGCTAAGCCTTTTACTTTACGTTAAAAGGTTTAGAAATTGCCGGGCTTATAATTGTTGCAGGTAAAAGGGATAGGCACGGTATAAGGCTATTCCGGTTAATATGCTTTAAAAAGGAAAGGATTTAAAGTGCAAGGTCCCGTAGGGGCCTTTGCCCTTTATATACACGTAACTCCCTGTCCTCCTTGCTTACTAAGCTTCCTTCTTAACGCCTGGAAGCGTTATACGCTTCCAGGCAAAGGGACCGCTTTTCCGATGCCTCAGGCATTTGATATTTATGCCTAAGGCTTCCTCATGACAGTATATACTGTTTACTTTGTAACAAATAATTAAACCAATTAAACGCAATTAAATCGTTGGTTTAGCCGTTTTCGCTTATGGTAAAAGTTATTTTTAAATTTAAAAAGTTGCGCACGTGTTTTTCGTTAATACAAATTCCGGCTATAATAATAAACGGAAAAATTGTTGCGCCGGCGGCCAAACAGGTTTTAACAATCGTAACGATATTTTGGTAATCCGAATCGCTTTAAAACCAAACTTTAATATCCGTATAGCATTAAATAAAGCTTTTTTGGAATACGTTTACCCAAAAGCTTATTTCGTCGAAATTCCATTTATTTTCCGGCTTAATTTAATATTTTTTTACGTACCGCGCGTAAAAATCGAACCATTTTTTTAGCACTAGCTTATTTTATGCCGCGCGCTTTTCAATAGTTTGCGGTTTTTTTTTTACCCGTTTTAATAGCTTTTTATAAGCCGAAAGCCAAATTTAAGCCTATTTTTTTTTAGCGTTCGTCGAAAAAAAAGTTAACCGGCGGCGGAAAATCGAATCGACGGTTTGGGCAATAGCAATTACGGTAACGGCGTTTTTTAAAAAAGGTTAATTTATTTGCTAACAAACCGCACCCAAAACCGCTTGGATTAACTTACCAATTAATTGCTTCCAATTAGCCTACGCAAGCAACGCAAAATTTTCGGTTTTTGTTAGCTTTTTATTGTACCCGCCGTTCCCTATTTTACCGGCGCTTCCTTGCCGGCGCTTTTGCAGTAAGCGAAAGTTTATCCCGTACTGCCGCGCGCAAGCGGCAAAGGTTTTAAAACCGTTTTAATCGAAAGCTTTTAGGGCTATTAAAACCCGGGCTTTATTAGCCCGGGCCTTTTCGCGCTTTTTTTCGCACCGGATCCTAGGCATTTCGGTAAAATTTGGCTGGAAAACCCAAAAGCGCAAGGCCTAAATTGGCGGGGTTAAAATTACGATGGTTTTTTGGCTATGCACCGTGCTTATAAAAGTTCGGCTAACTATTACCTTTTTCGGCAATACATTGGTTTTTAGCTAATTTGGCTGGGGAAAAATGTTACAGAAAAACGTCGAATTGCCCCGAAAACGTCGAATTGCCCCGCCGCACTTTACTCCGGAGGACCGTTAAATTGCAGGCGCTTTTAGCCCG